CCCCCCTCCCTTCTTCCTCCGTCTTTCGCTCTTTTTCCGATTCGCTCGATTTACGTTCTTACGTTCTTTTTTCCTGTAAACTCGTACAAACGTTTATTGGCGCGATACTCTGTGTTCATAACGGCCGCTGGTAGCAATCGCGTATAACTGCATGTATATCCTGCGCTCGCGCGGAGCATCCCCATAGATAATCGTATTATCCATCTATCTTGTACGCTGCTTCGGGATGTCGAATCGAGATTCGAAACACGCGGCGGCTCTCGTCTTCCGCCTTTTAGCCGCGAACGGCGCTCTCGAAAGTTTTTCTCGTGGTCGGTGGAAACGCGCCGACGCGTTTCTTCTCACACGTTTATCATAATTCGACACGTACGGTACGTGTTGTCTCGAATTAAGGGGGATTAGAGAATTACACAAGCCGTCCGAGTTTTTAATTAAAGCAAAATTTACCGTTTACCGTCGACGTTCATCGCCGGAGATTTCACTGAACTGTGCGGCGATGTACGGTGAATGCATGATTTCGATGTACCGGCGATTTCGCTCGCGGTTCGACAACGGATTTTTCTCGCCGAACTGCTTGGCAACCGGTACTATCGAAAGGTGGTAAAACTGTCCACCGAAGAGTGGAAAGAGAGCGGAACGAGAACGGGTGCGTGCACATCGTGTGAATTACGCGACGCGTCGCGTTGAATTGCCATTTATTTTGCAGATTGATTGAAACGCGCTCGCCGTCACCGGTGTCGCTATGTTTTTAAACGAAACCATAGTTAGCTACAAAATTTTCTGTCAACGAAAACGTATACGTGCCAGAGAGAATTAGGAAGTATAAAAAAACGGAAGAAAACAAATTGTGCACATTATATAAATAGCGCAAATAAATAATGCATATAAATTAGTGCGTACAAATTAAGTTGAAAAATGATGATTTTTTTTTTTGTCCGAGCATTAATTATCCGGTGATGTAACTATTATAACGTAATCGTCAAGAGAAGAAATAAATTATGACGTCATAATCTCTTCATTAAAAAAGTTTTGAATAAAAAGCATGCAGGAATTCGTGGCTTCGTTTTGCGACTGTATATAATAATTAGATAGAAAAAAATTTCAAAATTCCTCGCGTATCATATTTTAATGGAATCTCGTTTGCGCGGGGAATAAACTGTTCGGAGAATGTCGATCGAGGAATATTTTTGCTCACGATATTTTGCTTCTCTCTTTTTTTTTTTTCTTTTTCTTTTTTCTTACGGTTAACAACGCGGTAACCCTTTTGCAGACGACGGACGCGGCGGGGATGATCCGACGGACCGGCGGTTCGCGCGCGATTACGTATTATGCTAAACACGCGAAAATGGCTTTTTAAATGGAACATCTACATTTATGTAGTCAACGTAGCGTCCACGGCAGCCGCAGCCCCGCGGACGGTCGCCGGGTAAGAGCGACGGCGAATTAAATGCAATTTTCGTCCCACCGAGGCATGCATAACAAATTGACGAACGTCTTTATACTTAGAAACTGCGTGCATAACTGCGTTATGCACGTAGCACGGGGGCAGGGCACTATTTCGTCGCACGGCCGATTTACAATCCGATTATTATGCCTGCATAATGTCGACTGTCCTCTTTCTCCCCTCCCCCCCCTCCCCTCCCTCCCATCCCCTCCGTCCTGCGTGTAAGCACGTACTCAACTACGTATAATACAACCGACGAGAGTGGTGCGAGCGGAATTTCTAAGCGAATGCAATTTAAAAAGGAGCAATAAAGCGGAAACTGGCTACTGGGAGGAGTAGTGCCGCCGCCGCCGCCGCCGTTGCTACGCTCGATCCTTAAAATTGAAAATTAAACGTTTCGCAGCGCACTGTGAATTTTGAGTAGCATGTCTAACCCGTGGCTTCACGCTTTTTCTGTTTCAGGATCCGACTTCCGTGAGTATAGGTCATTAAGTTACCAGCCAAATGCTACAAAGTAATGGGTTCGAGCCGGGAGAGAAAAGCCGTGCCCCGATCGCCGGCAATTAATTGCGGAGCCGCCGGTTCCTTTCGTAGGCACGAGAGCTCTCGCAGGGTGCATTCACGAACGGCGAGAAGTTTTGCGCATATCAGCATGCATGTAGTTTACATTGCTAATCGTTAAAAAGTATGCCGCACGAGGGCAAAACGGCACCTTAAACTCCATCGTGTAGCAATAAATTTGTAATTCGTAAAAACATTGCGCGGCAAAACTTCTCCGATCGGCACCATTAACGGTACATATCTTCGTATGTTACATACACACACCTTGGAATCGACGAAATAATCTTCGTGTGGGCACTCGCCGCGAACCATCTGCAGGGCGTAAGTATATTTTATTTGATTTTCTTAAATATTTACAATTAGATATATCGAAGTTGAGACGTAGCTATCCTCCGACGTTTATTGACGTAAATCGTTCGACGTACGCGCCGAATAGTACTTATCCGCAATTTTCCTCAATTACTCTTCAATTACACAAATACGTTGCATTTGAAGAATTACCCGTAGGTCAAAGGCCTATCCAATCGATGATTGTTATTCCACTTCTGCCCGCAAAAATGAAGGAGGAATGGTTGAGAATAGTAAATGTGTAATTAGTAAAAAAAAAAAAAAAAATGCCAATGTTTGCAACACGAAATACGAATTAACTACAAATTGTTGCGCTAAATGTACAAATTATTGAGAGTACTTTTCACTTGTTCATGCAGCATTGATCGCGAGAGATGTTTCAACAATAAGATTCGCTTGAAGGAAATATAGATTACAAATTTATTTTAATTGTTCAAATATATACATAGATAAAATGAATCTTACTTATTTGTCAACATTTTTATTATGTTATTTTTATTATGGAAAAAATAGTTAAATATAGATCTGAAAATAATTTTGTTCATTAAAATAATTATGTAAGAAACTCAAATATGATGAGAACAATGTTGTAAAAAATTCCGATATTCCAGCAACCAGTTTTAGTCTTCTACATAATTATTTGGATAGTCCGAACAAAAGACAAAATTATTTTTAGATCTGCACTCACATCAATTTTTCGATCTCAACAAAATCATTCTTTTCGTGCAATAATGTGACTTCGCGCGACTACAATATAGTCGTTCGAATAATTTTTGAGGGGAGAAGAGGCGAAAGAAACCTGCGAACCCCCAGACTCGAATACGAAATGATGGGAGGGATAACTGACGTCTCTATAGTAGTAAAATGGAGACTATGGCATTCGTCCCGATGGGGGTCCCTAGACGTCGTCGGAGACATCCAGCGCCGCGGGGGATCATTGTCTCAGGGGGATCCCAAGGGCGAGTCACGGCGAAGGGCCAACCCCGGTTTGACACGCACGAGGGGGGTCGTAGCGCCCCGTCGCGCCCCTCACGAAATTAATAACCGAAATTCAAGTATTCCTACTACTCGAGCCAGAAGTTATCGCACGAGTGTATCCGGTTGAGTCTTCCGCCACGGCCCTCACGATGGCAATCTGAGCATCGCACACCCACGCAATGCATACGTCGAAAACGAATACCGGTTAAGTGACTTATAATAAGGTCGGGCCAGATTTACGGTGTTTATTCGCTATTGGAGCGTGTTAGAAAGGAATGTACATAATCTTGCGATCTCGCGTCGTGGTTGTATTCTGATGTCACTATTAAATCCCCCCGTAGATTCAATAGGTATATAAAGGGAATAGCGTTTGAAGAGCGCGCTTCTCTCGCCGAAGAAAGACCGTCTTAAAATTTATTAGGGGATTCTCAAAGCTTGACGAAACCTGATTGACGATTTTCACCGGCCGTTCGGAAAATAAAGTCCGAGAGGCAGGTATCGCTCGGCTTCGCATACCATGGCGTTTCAAATTTCCACCATCGGCGACTGCCTTTTTCGCCGTCGCCATAGGTACATATATCGCGCGCGGTGCTATAAGCGGGCAATTAAAAGCATGCAGCAGAGACATTTATGTTCGCACTAACTGCCCGTTAAGACGGGGAATCACCTAACCGTGGAAGGTGTAATTGGTCGGCATGCTGAACCTGCAGCTCGTAAAAGCACAGCGGGTGTACCTCGCAGTTCTGTAGCTTTTCCGGCGTGACGTTTTACAAATTGCACTTTTCGTCAAGTCCATCGTTTAAGACCGATTTTGGTTTTTCGTTGAGAAACCAACATTTTATGAGAATGTACGGCCGATTCATAAACTTCAACGTAAGATAGAAAAACAAGTTGGAACAGATTTGAACGAATATATATATATATTGAAGTAATTGAAAAATAACTGCTCTCTTTTTCATTTAATTGTATTGCTTGGCCGAACAGTAGGAAACTAAATCGCAAGCAAATTTATAAGTGTACCGGAACACCGCTTACCGATTCTCGACTTCTTAACGTTCTCGACAAATAGGCTGCATGGTTAGATAAGCCTCGAGCAAGAGCATCTGGACGTTAAAAAAGAAAAACGAGTTATTATTGCAGCGGTTATTAATATAGATCTACCGGCAGATAATGTAATTGTGCTACAACGTAGTCAGCAAGTATAATTTTAATTGCGATAAACCGTCATTACGGTAGCCTTGTTCCCTCTATGAACCCCCGCTCATCTTTGTATACAACAAAGAAAAAACTAGGATCTAATGCATCGTGTCAAGATAAAATGTTTTCATTTATTCTAACAGACCGATGTGTGAATAACAGGGGGGAAAAAAAGAAGAATCGCTTTCGGTCTTGCGAACTGTATAATCGTACCGTACATGATTAGTTGCATGATCTTCTTTTTTTCTTCGCGGCTCGATTGTGTCGTTCTATTAGTGGGACGTTTATCGCGTCGTAATAAAAATTCTTTATTTTACTATAAAAGTGTTTCGTTCCTTTTACGATCGCGATCGCAAGATACGACCGGACGTAACAATGTCATTAGCATAGATCTAACATAGGGATAGTGTAATTGCGCTACAATGTAACTAGTCAGTCAGTCAGTCATAATACAATATACAGGGTGCTTTAGAAGTACGCACATCACGCTCTACGCGCAGGAGAGACATTGGCACGTAGGTGTCTCGACAGAGCGCGCGTAGCATTTTATTTTTTTTTTTATTAGTACGCATACCGCTCGTTACGCTATCGTTCACTCGTACGAAGATACGCATTCCTGGCAATCCATTTCTCTCTAGCTCTTCCTTCTTTCCCCCTTTGTCTCTCTCTCTCTCTCTCTCTCTCTCTCACTCACTCTCGCTCTCGCTCTCTTTCGCGCGGCTTCGATTAAAATGCCAGACGTCGGTAGCAGAAAGAGATTCGCCGTGATACGCGATATTGTTACGCGTGTACACGTTGTAACTGTCCGGATCCGTGACGGAGTCACGCGATATGCATTATGCACGCACGTAACGCCGCGCGCGGAGCGGCAGCAGACGCGTTTCCGCCGTCAATCCCACGATGCACCACAGCTCCGCAGCGGACGACTCTCGCTCGCTTTTGTGAGAAAACGAGTCACTGACGCGCACCGTTTGCATTTTCGCGTTCGGTACGCGGAAAATAAGAGGAGAAGAAGCGCAGGCCTCTAATTCTCGCCGAGTCCTATACATTATTAATAACACAGCGGGGGAAAACCTGGGTTAAATGGCGCGAGCACAATGACGGCGCGTTAATTACACACATCGCCGCGTCGTTACTTTTGACGCCGCGCACAGTTGCGGGGCAATTTAGCGCGCGTATCTTACATAAATGCAATTACTATCACGAAACTCTACTATCACGATGCTCGCGCGTATCGAAACTACTGCGACGAGGATGTTACGTTTAGCCCTGACGAAAATGTATTTCATGCATGACGTAACGAATGTATGCAGTGTTTTCGCGCGAAACGCGACCGGGGAAAATATTATTCAAATTTCAAATAGAAAGTAGCATCGTATGTAAAAAAAAAAAAAAAAAAAAAAAAACACCCATTTGTGCATTCCTAATTTAATACGCGAGAAAAAATTAGGAGACATTTGGAACGTAAGTTTTGCGCGAGGAGAGAAATCTGGTACTCCTTATCTCTCCGAGATAATTCTGCAGCGGTGTGAGAAAACTCATCTCGATAATTCCTAAGTTTCTTCTCGTGCGGCTAATTCCATTTCGCGCCTGACGTCGTTGTTCGCAGGTCGTGAAAACTAATCGTGAGACAAATCCGGCATCCTTCGCTTTCCCTCTCGCTCGCAATGAATTTAACATTCTCCACTTCTTCCCCGGTATTGTCCGCGTGTAATGAAGGGACGTAAGCGCGATAAGGAGGAGCCGTGAGCTGCTTGCTCTCGCAGCGCAACTTTCACCGCGCAATCTCGTCAGCCACCTGTGACGGCGAGCCGACGATGGTCGGTCGCGAAGAAAATGTCGCGACGTCGCGATGCATCCTCTCGCGATGAATCTCCGATGCCGATCGCGACGGTTCATTTACGACAGCTGCATTATCCCTATGCGACGCGCCATTACTTTTATTAGCATAATGACAGGCGAACAACTCAATTTGCATGGAAAATCACATAGGTCTTTGTAACGAAGTTCGCCCGCGGATCCGTATTAATAGTCGTCCTATCGTACGTATGTGAGTACATATTATATTTCGCATATTGTATATTTTACATATACAAGGACTCGGTAAACCTAGTGTCCTTAATATTTATTATTCACTTATGTTTGTACGGTGAATTCAACGGATAGTTCTAGCAATGCCCGTTTCTACCAATGTAGGTTAATTTTAATCTTAACTTTTTCGAAGAATTCGAAAAAAGGTGGAGAGTAAATTGAAACTAAGATCGAAGTTAATTTGTATAAGTAAAAATAAAATTGGCATATGTCGCACATAAGGCTGTCGCGTTTGACTCGATTGCATCGGCTTATTCATTTTATTATTGTCAATAAAACAAAATACAGAATGTTGTGGTCATGATGTAATATTTTATAGGTAAATAATTATGCTTTCTATATAACTATCAAGAGATGATTATTAATTTTCGTAGTTTATTGTAACTCTGAACGAAGAACCGAACCTAAGAAATTTGGCATTGCTCCGCATGACTGCGAGTAACACTGAAAAGTTCTTTGTTTTAAAAATTATAGTTTGTATAGATAATATATGAATATTTTAATTATTCGTAGTTTAAAGCTAAATAACTGGAATTTCTTTGAATATATACAGAGAGAGATTTCTATAATTCTTAAATAATCCTCAGTTTTATTTAATTTTTTCCTTCAAATGTTCGCAGTTTCCTCACTTTTCTTGTACATAGAATATCATATACAATTTGCGAAAAATGTCGGAAGAAACAGTGTACGGATAGAAAAGATCTTCTAGTTGGAGTAGCGAAGCTTCTTTGAGATATCGCGCGTTCTCTCTCTCTCTCTCTCTCTCTCTCTCTCTCTCTCTCCGCATTGGATAATTCCGTATCATCATCGAAATTGCCCTCGATCGTCGTCGTCCTTCTCGTCCGCGGCTTGATTGAGAGTAGTCGAGGATCGTTTGCCACCGCACCTGATCCAATCGTCCATTCGATAATTGGCGCCGGTAATGAGACGCAGAATTACCTGGTCAGGTCGTTCAGGCAAATTTTTGCGGTGAAAAAAGACGGTAAAAGGAATGGCGCGCCGTTTCTCTAAAAAAAGAATGAAATAATGAGCGATATTGCTTGGGCGAAATTATTTGAACGAAACAGTTTGCGAAACGTTTGCTCTCGATTCACGTGCTTGATTCACGTGAAGTACAGCTGTCTAGAAATGAAGATAAATGCGATGTGATGTTCGGGGCGTGTAACGATTATCACGCGATTATTTATCGATCATTGCTGAAGACGACGGATACAAATTCGATGAAGTCTTCGGTACCTTAATAAGGAAGTGCAGACTTATCGATATATATTATGTACTTCAAACACTTCTTAAAGATAGCATCTTAACGGCGAAAAATGTGCACCGTTTTACATTTTTGACGTTATTACAGTTATATCGGCTATGATATTATGGAAATCGGTCTGATTATAATCAATATTTTGTTGATACTTAAGTTTAATGGAATATTTTAATACCCAGTTTTTTCTGTGTGCGCGTGAAGGTTTGTGTCAAAACCCATTAACTTCAATTGCGATATTACTGTAAATCGAAATGTTTCGGCATAAAAGAAAAAATGCGTAAAACTCTAATAAAATAAAGAGATGAAAAAAGATTTTTCCTGTCATGCTAAGGAAAACGATGTGTATATATATATATATGTATATATAAAATATCTCCTATGTTACAGTTAGCCTCCGTATTCCGCGATAAGTTATAATGACCGTTTAGAGTCCCGAGCTTGATTTTATCTATCGGTCGTCAAGCTAAGATCGTCGCGTCGTCCTAATAGTATCGCAACGACGTGAGTGACGTGAATGAAATTAACGTGCCTGATCGCCTTCGATTTTGGCGCCGGACGCCGTGAAATGCGATTACGACGTTACGATCTCGGACGCGGCGATACGAATCTGGCGAAATATTATGTAAATAGAGGCGTGCGTTAAAACGCGCGCGTTCTAAAGCCCGCCTCTCCTACCTACCTACCTGCCCTTGTCTGCCTGCCCGGCAGGAGATACCAGGCGAATATAAAAGGAGCATAAAGTAACATTTAGCGCGCGCGCGCGTTTAAACGAAATTGCTATAATCCCCGGTCGAGGTGGGCAAAAGCGGGGAAAAGAATCGCGAGCTAAGGGCTATGCAGAGAGGAGAGGGATGGAGGGGGGGGGAGAGGGAGCGAGAGAGGGCATTAACATACCGATTTACATAATGCGTATAATTCGAGCAATTATGAAGGGAAATATACACAATTTAATATAATGGCGGATGTTTAGGGCTGGCGCTATATCTACCGCGGGAGATCTCTCCGGTGTGTACGACTAGAGAGAGAACGCGAAAGAGAAGCCCCTCTCGTATTGCTTATGCGTATGTAGAGGCGCGTGGTGCATTCGCGAGAGAAAGGAAGATGAGCAGCTCTATCGATTGTTCCATACACGTTATGCGGATGCGTGCCGCGTATTGTTGCAGATCGTGATCGGGCTGGATGAGTTAAGCGCGATCTAAAGCGCCGCGAATCTCATCCTTAGCCGACAAACAAGACCGTTGTGTGTTGTTCCTTTACGAGTGTCATTGTACGAAATTCAAGACACCCATAAGAGACCGCGATGGGCAAGAAGCGAGATAGTGCAACGAGACACTTTGAAATTGCGGAATGTGTTTCGGCGATAAAAAGACACAGCGATATCTGGCTGTATTTACACGCTACATTTAACATTGTTATCTCGATCCTTGTAACATCGGTGCTGTAAATGCTCTCGTGCGTTCGACTTTGAATAATGGTATAGTAAAAAAAACATATTTCCTCCACTTCGTCGTGAAATTTCGATCGAATGACTAGGATTTGAAAAAAAATAATTTTGCTACTCAGAATTTTATCAATCTTCATCTGCCGGAAACCCGGTTTATTCGAGCCATTCAATTATAAATATCTTTGCCAGTTCAATTTTCTTTATGTTACATCCACAGATATGGATAATCCTTATTAAAATGTAATTAATATTAATTTTTTTATGCGAGTCATTTTAGATTCTTGACATTAATTAGCACCTTTTAATCAACACAAATTAAAGGGGTCTTACAGACTCAGCGTCAATAACTATTACAAATTTCGACGTTAGCTCCGGGAGGTTAAGATTAAAGCGATAAAAAAATCTATTTAATTCTATAACTGACACGATGATTCCTTCGATAAAAGATGCGCGAAATGAAAAATGACGTAGATATGCATATTAATCGTAAAAATATTTGAAAAAGACGGATGAATCGCCACTCTTCAACTCCGAAGACGTCTGAAAGGTTGGCTCCTAATGACGAAGCACCTTCACGCCTACCTTTTACTTAGATAGACATTGATTAATACAACCGGCATTTCTAATATACTTATTTTAATTTGTGTTTTCACAACGACGAACATGAAATTTCCCGAGGTGGCTGGCACGTATATCGTTAGACCTGCCAGACAGTAATGCCGTAATTATGACGAAAATATTGTGCGAGATAAACGTATCTTTACGTTCTTAATGAATAAAAATGTAAGAGATAGAGTGGCTCGATGTAGTTACTTTTTAACGAAGTGCATAATTACTGCGCAGATTTCCTGCTCATACTTTGCGCTTCTTAACGCGTTTAACTAAACATACATATCTTTAAAACATATACTTTAATATAATATCTTTATTCTATTTATCATATATGTTTTTAATGCTCTTCAGGTTGATATAATAATTGCATATTTTATACAATTCTTACATTCTTAATAAGGAGGAATTACCGATGTGTAAAGTAATATAATTTACAATCAAATTGAGTGTTATTCCAGCAATCGGAGAACTTTTTTCCGCGCAAAGATATTATATCATTAACAACATTCTGTCTGTTTTTTTGTTTTTTATTATACCACTCGCGATATCGCAATAACAAGATCACGATGAAGAGAGAAAAATGAAATGGGAATCGAGAAATATTTCCGGAATTCCACGTGAAATGTGTTCTTTGAAAGCGGATAACGGTGCGCAGATAACTAACGAGACGGTCCACGTTTATCAGTTGTACAGTTCGCGGCGGGCGTACGTGGTTTCCAATTAGCGTTACAGGATGAGCTAATTGCTCGATATAAATCGCCAAGACTTAAAAAGTTTGAATAATTAGGCGGGGCTGCAGGTGCTTGGGCTTGGCTTTATATATGCGCGTTTGAATATTTAGCACAGTTCTAATGACGCGCACACCTCTCCTTATTATCGCCGCCGGTATAATAAGGAGGGATGACTTGCGTCGCTTTTTATACGCGTTCGAAAACAATTCGCTACATCGCGCTCGCCGTTAATAGGCTCCATTAATGTAAGCGAATCGCGTTCGACACAGTTCATCACCGGCGTATAAACATCGGATCCGAAAGCAAGAAAGGATCAATTGCCTCCGCGATTAAATTTTTTTAACGCAGGAACATGGCGCTGATCATGCCGCTATCGGAATGGATACTGCACTCATTAATATATATATATATATACAGAAATAATGGTGTTGAAATATCTAAAAATGTAGCCACGGATCTAAATAATTTTGTTAGACCATTACAATAATTACGTAGAGCGCTCAAACTGGTTGCTAGAATATCAAAACTTTTTGTAGCATTGCTCATTATGCTTGAGCTTTCTACCTATTTTAATGGTTGCAAAATTATTTTCAGATCTACATATATCTAGATGAATATCTAAATTTTTAGATATTTTAGCATTTTTTCCATGCAATTATTCCTTGAGAACACACCTTTTCTTTATATAATGTTATTTTCTCGTTAATTAATTTATTAGAATACAGAAAAACAAACTCGTAAACGATATTTATCAAAGTTGACGTCGAGGCAGTGTAACGGGATATCGCATAATATTTAATTCGCTCATGAGTGAATCATGAGTTGGCTGATCAAAATGATGAAGAAAATAGTGACATTCGGAATGGAGAGGCTCGAAGGGGCGAAGGAGACTCACTGACTGACTGACTGACTGACTGACTGAAGGAAGGAAAAGGAGAACGAGGAAGAGTGGTCCGTTCGACTCGCGCGTATCTTAAGATCTATCTGAATAATAACGTGTACGACAACATGTCAAATTATACAGAACCGCGACGCACGCAGATCCCTGAAACTCGCACACTCGTGAACGAGCCCCGTGCGTGCGCGCTCGCGTGCGTGCGTGCGTGTCGTGCGTTCACTCCCATGTCGGCATCGGTGGACAGGAGGGAGGCTCCGGGGGTGGTACGAGAGCGACATGTGTTTTGCGGTGGCGGTGACTCTCTACAGCAGTTTTATAATTGCCCGACTCGTTGGATATCGTGCCCACTCGTTGGACGAGATTCGCGAAACGCCGTTGCGTTTCCACCAACGGGAATCGAGTCGATCTTAACCCCGCAATCCGCCCTTCCTCCACCAATTATTGCCTTCCTGCGCCAGGGCCGCTGCGCCTGTTTCTAAAAAAACATACTCTCCGCTTTTCTTTGTCTATACCTCAAAATATTTTATTACAATTATAAAGACCGGAAGAAATATTTTTGAAGTAACTATAATTTGGTTGATATGTGAGTTGTCAAAATTTTGTCGTTTTAACTTACAAATTGTGTTGTCCTAAATTAAAATGATTATTCGAGTCAAATTTTTAAGTTTTACAACACAATTTTTCAATTAAAACATAACAAAATTTTGGTATTCTTACGTATCAACCATATTATACATTTCTGTCAATACATAAAAGTGGAAGAAACTGATTTAAACGAATATCAAAATATGAAATTAAAGTATACTCATAACAGAAAGTCTCTGGAGTTCCTTGCGTTTATCCAAAGTTTGATGATGTAGTTTTGAGAAGTGCAAAAAAATTCGAATACTATATATATTCTGCGAAAATCTGTGTAAATTAAAAAATAAAATACTACTTTATGAAAATCAGAGATTTTATATCAAGTAAGCCATCGACGCTTCTTATAGGCAGGTTTTTTGTAAGTTGCATAGAGCGTCCTTTCTTGCTAAGGAAGGATACGGTGTTTCTTGCCGCACGACTTAGCCGACCCTGCACACTTTCCACCATCTCGTCACGGAGCTATCGGTGACAATTAAATCACAGCTCCCGCTTGATCATGACGGATCGCCGAAGTAGCCTAGCGCGCGTCGTTGCATGCTTCCGACCGCTACTTTGCCTTGGAAATCTCGAATTTTCCTCGCAGATATCGCGATTCTTGTTTCGACGGTCTGCACGCGGAGCTGAGCTCTTAAGCCCTATTCAAACGATACGGTATTCAAGCGGCAGGTGCACAAAATGGTAACAGTAGTCGAGATTAACGGCGACAATGTGGCTCGAAATCGTGTGGCAAGTGGTATCAGCTTTACAGGGGATATAATTTTTGGGAACGATGTTGACACTGCGCGCTAGAAATCATATTGTTCGAATAAGCCTTTATTGCGCCGCGACATTATACCGTATCGCTGGCCATCGCCAGTACATGATCGTCGGCCGCGAACCAACGGCGTGATTGCTGCCTGTCAACAATCGTCGACGTATATACCGGCGATAATTCGTCTCCACAATCGCCAGCCTGGCCCAACGCGGTAATGACAACGATGATGGATCTGCGGCGCGACGCCTGAACTTTGTTTGCTCGGGGGGCCACGCGACGTATATGCAAATCGTGCTTGCGCGCTTGTGCTTTATAAATAAGGTCTTAATTAATACTAACGAGGCTGACGCGTAGATACATGTAACTATCGTCTTTTCTGTTTCACGCCTCGTGCCTGCCTGCCTGCCACACATCCCGGATGGACGGATATATGCATACTCATCGTGGATCACCGCAGTATGTAAGTAGGATATTTTATTAATATTGTTGCGATCATTTATCATGTGTACGAGGAAATCACGTGTATGGGTAGTCAATTCGGAAGACAACCCGAATTAGAAAAGATTAACGGCAGTACTCAACATTTCAGTACGGATAGTAATTTATCATCGGAAATCAGAGAGCCTAATTTAAAATTTCCCGCTATTGTACGATGCAATTGTACGAAAGCAGCTTCGAGCTCTGCTGGATTTACGTAAAAAAATAGCGAGATTGGCTGCCGGCATCCGTTCACCCTTTTACCAGCTTTCGCACAA